CCCCAATCTGGTTTGAGTGAAAAGCCTAGAAACATGATCAGAATCATGCCTTAAAAATCTATCAACATTTTTATATTAATTCCTTTTTTTCCCTCTTTATATTGTTTTAACCCTATAGGGAATTTTTTTTCACTAAAATATACAGTTTTGATGTCACTATTTCAAAAGGTTGTAGCTTGAAAATTGTTCGAGATGAAGGCTTACTTTAAATGTTGCTTGGTGCAATGTTGGCACTTAAACGATTAATATGTACCCTTGGTGTGTCATTTTTTTTTCCTTTTTATACTTTGTACTGGGCTGCACATGTCAAAAGCTCGCTCAGGGTTTAGTTCTCCCAGGTTATTAATTTGTATTTCACGCAGACAATTTTGGCAATTGTACAGTTTGGAAAAGGCTCTTTTCTGTCTAGCATAACTGGGCACAAAGCAGGGTCTCGAAGACATGGTTATATGAGTTTGGTGTGGAACAACTTTGAGAGCTCTGACCTCCACCCCAACATGTCCAAGGTTAACGAAGAGAGATTGTGACAATCTGTAAAAAACAGTTTGCCTTCTCAGATGCATGTGTAACATTTCCCCTTCCTGCAAGTTGACGTGGCCTTTTGTCCCGTTACTGTTGTCCAGACTGTGTACAAAACAAGGAACATGTGAGTTTGTAAAGGTGACTGCAGCATCACAGCACAAAATTCTCAGAGGCGAAGGAGAATCTTAAAGTATCTTCAAAAATTCAACAGAATTTTGACCCACAAGACAGGGATAAATGAATACAATGGCTCCCACCGAAGAAAATACCTCTTCGAGAGTGGCCCAATTGGACCAACTTGATTGAGGTGCTACGGCGGCACCTTTTGATTAACAATTGACACTCCCAAGTATGTTGCTGAACCGAACCAAAATTTCTCCTGACCATAGAACCGCAGGTCTGATATGCAACGACAAAAAACTTTTGTGTTTATATTTATGCAACTATGTTATTTGTTTTGTTTTTAACCATAAAATATTTCAGCTTTTTTTTTCAATTAAGGCACCTTAAAAGTGGAAAAAGCTATGAACAGATTAATTAAAAATAAAGGTTTTTTTCATTCTAAAAACACTGAGGTCTTTGTTGATACTTTTTATGTTGTCTATTAAAATACTAAAAACCCTAACTTAAAGTAAACAATTGAAAGTGTTTTTTTTTTAAACAAGAAAAAAATGTGTTAATGACTGAGCCTGCGTTGAGCAAAGCTATCAAAAAGCCGTAAATGGATGTACGTAAATTGTTTACTAAATGGAAAAAGTTTGTCAATGGGCTTTTCCCAGTGACCGCCTCAGTCTGTCTGGTTAATTCCTCTGTCATTGATTCACCAACAGTGTGTGACATGTCAATATAGCAGTCTCCTGAATTTATTTTGTTGGCAAAATGGAATTGTAAGCATTTTGAATGGCTGATATCAATCCTCCAGGAGCCTTTGTGTAATTGCTATAATGAAGCTTATATACTGTCTTTTGCTTTTTAACTGTCCATAACTGATCTCTTATCAAAAACAAATATTTGACCATGGCTGTTGAAATGAATTACGAGATAAGCTTTGCCATCTCCTAAGTACACAGAGAGTCCTGCGGTAGCCCTCATTTCCTTTTCCAGCTAACATTATCTGATACAGTAATGATATTTTCAAGGTGCGTATGAAAATAATCATTGCAGGCATTTATGAAACTATCCATCCATTTTAGCAGAAAAAAAACCACGATGACATTATTTGACAAAATAATTGTTTAACCACACAAAATCAAACCTCTATGGTTTTAAACATGACAGATTAGAGGCAGTCATTCACATTGCCCTGCTATCAGTGTTTGGAAAATGGTGATTGTATTGTTAGGATGAAACTGCTTTATATTGTAGTGGTCTAGCTCCGTTCTACAATACAAAAAGGTCCAATGTTGGTCAAGATACAACGAATGATAGTCATTTTAATGGGATTAGATAGAGGTGCCCTACTTATGCCACTCTCCGTGATGCCAGGTAGACAAAAGCTACTGTATTAGCTCATGCATCTATTTGGCACCACTACTGGTCAATAAATCTGGCATCATGCATTTTTACCCTACCTTTTGATTGTCTAATTATATAGTACATGAATGAAATATTATGGCTGGTTGGAATTGTAAATAAGTCATAGAGAACTGGTCCCACCCAACACAATCCTAAGGAAGTTTTTATTTCATCCATTTGTTGGCCTTCGATGGATATTGGCATGGTGGCGGACTGGAATACATTTTGCAAACCCTCTCAAGTGCGGATGCATGACTCCTATTTGCATGTAGCTAACAGTCCCCAATGTTTATCAATCAACAAATGCCCCAGAAACAAACAAGCAAACAAAAAAAAACAACAATCCAGAATTTTTTTTGTTGGTCATCCTCTGATAAGGTGCTATATTATGACCCATAGATATGATAACCACAATCAGTCAAACGCCATGCATGGGAGCATCAATAACCTTCTAGAACAGTGATGACCCCATAAGATCTTAGCTGAACACGGTACAAATAGCAAAACTAAAAAGGGGATCCCCTGCGGGCTCTTATCAACTGGCAAACAGAAAGTATCTCTTATCTTTACTTCCCACGCCATGTTCTCCATACGTCATAATAAACTGCAGCGAGGTGTTTAGATTACTCCACCCAGCCATACTGCCTATTTTGTGGTTGTTTTTTTGTTTTCTAAACAAAACTACCAGTACATGTTCAGCTTATTCAACCTAACTTTGAATACATAAATGTTAAAAAATATACTGCATACAAAGTATCTTATTATTATTACAGTATTATTGTTATTTTCTCACTTGACCCTGATGTGCAGGAGGGTACATCGGCCAGTCATGTGATGAGTGCTGTTTCAACGAGTGTTAAAACTGATGTTGTTTTGGCGGTTTGTTTGCATGACAGCAATCAATTCCAGTGTTTTCAGTTGTTCTTCTTTTTAAGAAACCGCAAAGGAAACAAAAGTATTTTTATTTGGTTCTTGACATTGGTTGAGCTACTGTTGACTTCCACATGATTTTCATTCTGCTTTGAAAAAATGGAATGATCATACTGTATACAAAGGCAGTCATGCTATTTAAATGCAACGTTGAGTGATTTTGAACAGCACCCGGTCTGTAACTGCTGTCACTTGTTTGGGTGACAAAGTGAACTGGCACTGCAATCGGAACACGAGGGCTTGCTGGAACCAGACCCGGCCAGATGGCTTCAACTTACACTTTCATCACAACCCAGTGAGAGACAGGAGTGGAGATAACACCTCTGACAAATGATTAAAAAAAAAAAAAAGCACTGGTCTCTGATGTGACCCATTGAGTGCCTGCAGCCTTTTTGATTACATGTGAATCCCAGTCACAGAGAAACACAGCGAGCAGTGACAAGATATGTTGTTGGACCATCACTCCTGTTTTCTGTCTCCACCCCCAACATAGAGCTGTGTTGCTGGTGACTCATCCTCACCATAAGGCGAGTTGCATTCTACAAAATCTACCATTTGATTACTCCAGACCCAAACAGATTTGCATTTGGGGCACACACACACACACACACACACACACACACACACACGGATTCATGAGTTTATTTTGTAATGTTTAGGCCCTGTTTTACAGGTCATATTTCCTGATAGCCATATTATTGTAATGCATTCGCTCTAAGCTACATGAAAAATGAATTATGGCAAGTTAAATTTGACCATAGATATGAAGAGCTGATGTGTGTGATTGTCAAGCTGAAAGAAAAGACAACGACGACGTGCATGTTTAATAAGAACATTTTTCTTTTCCTGTGGTCATGAATGCAACTTCGAGGTAAAAGTGAAGTAACAGGATGGACAGTCACACGTTGATATTCACACTTACACACAGTTCCTCCATACGAGTACACGGCACGAGACGTTATATCTTGCGTGATCATTTTCTCTGTGCCTTCCTGAATCACACTTGCCTAGCAGGGAGTTTGTAGAGGGACACCGTGCTGCAGAGCGGCTCTCAGAGTAGTGGGTGTCTGCATCGCTGGGTGTTTGCTTTGTCTTTCTTACTCACCTTTGACTGATCATAATTTCATGCAACAGGAGTGATGGGAAAAGTAGGTCATGAGGAAGTTCCGCAAACCTTGCTTGGGAGTTGTTCACTTGCTCTGAAAGGCAAGAACTAAGAGTGTGGTTTGACCTTTCTTGTGTTCATTTCATTTCATGTCGCAAAAAACCACTCACTCAAATTCCTGATATGAATGCTGCCTAGTCTAGAAATGCTCTTTGTGTTCCCGTTACTACAGTGACCGCTTCCTCCTTCAAACTTGGTGCTAAAATTGGCCATCTGATCAATCCCTAATATAGCATCACTTTGTCACGAATGAACAAAAGAATTGCTCTTTCAAGACATATTTTTCACCGTCTCTTACTTGGATCTGTGGATCTTGGATGTGCTCCACTTTTAGATATACCTGCAGGCCTAAAATTGTCCTTTTTGTTTCTTTTCCCCATATTTCTAACCTTTCATTTTCTCTCTCTCTCTTGCAGGCTGTGCAGCCTCACGCTGAAAAGACTCGTCGTGCTCAAAGAACTGGACAAAGAACTGAACTCGCTCTCCATTGCAGTCAAAATACAGGTGAGTCAGTGTGATCTTTTGAGCCTTCCTTTTCAATTCCTCGCTTGTGCTGCACCCTGTTTAACATAATCACAAACCTAGTCAGCGATAAGACATGCTGCTAATCCTGCCAGTTGATAAAAAGCCTTCTTAGCGCAGACAGCTCTGGTATGTCACATCCACTCACGTGCCTTAAATAGCAGACTAGCATTAGTACTCTCGACAGTTGCATTAGCACCTTAAGACGGATTTAGAATGTTATATTCATGACGATGGGCGTGTAGCTCTAACAGGTGTTGACTCATCGCGGTGTCAGCCCTTAAGAATGATGACTCAAAGCCAAAAGAAAAATAATCATTTGTGCACACGCAGCACCATATAGCATGCATTGTGTTTTACTGTTTGTGAAATGTCACAACTTAAACGTCACTACTTAGTTACAACATTGAGATTTGAGATGAGTGAAAACTAGGGCTAAAGGGTATGACGCGTGTGGTTAATTTGTGTGAGCAGCTGCAGAGGCCATAAAACGATCTGGCGATCTAAAAATATCTGTATGCTGTCCAGTGCTTCACCAAACTCAATGCATTATCTGCATGAAAACAAGCATGGTGATAATAAAATTTTGAAATGTTGGAATTCCTTCATGACATCGGAGAAGTTTCTGCCTAAGACCGTTTGTGGGCCTTTTAAACCCACCCCCACAAAAAACGTTTTTGGGCAGTCTCAGTGGGGATTGGAGTGTGTCTCGCCTTCATCGGGGATCGAGAGTGAATTAGTTACTTGAAATTCTTTTTAATCAAGAGTAATTGTAGCCTCCCGTGACTGCCATTTGTTCTTTGTAACCTACTTTTCAGTGAATGAAATTTGAACGCCTTTTAAACCAGGACTTGATTTTTATTTTATGCTTTTGATGGCACAAGGGAATGAACAGCGCCGATGGTTAAGGCTTCATTTGCCTGACTTCTGTGCATGCAGCGTGAGTTCAATTCAGAGATGTCTGTACAATCATAATTGTTCATGAGCATGTTTCTAATTTTTATTAATTATTGTTGTAATCATTAGTATACAAATTCAATTGATAGCTTTGGGCCATTCATTGTTGATCGTAGGGAATGTAGGAGGAAATGGGGAGGGGGGGAAAAAGATGTACGCGTGTATGTGCGTGTTATTAATATTTTATATTTTTGTGTTAGTGTATACTACACCCTAAGCATCCTATCAGTTTCACGTCCACAAAAATAAATAAATAAATAAATACAAGCTGGTCACCTTTAACCTACAGTGGTGCGTGCCCTCCATAACCGGAAGTTGTTCGCGATCAGCAGTCTGCAAATGCAGCTTGCGATCAGAGCTGTTGCGATGTGTTTTTTATTATTATTCTCCTTCAAAATTTATTTCATGTACAATTTACCGATGGCACTGGCATAACATGCTGCAAAAGTGCATCCCATGCCTCTGCGTCGGTTCTCTACGAAGGTAGCCAGTGATTTCCTTTTCACAAACTCACTAACTCTTGCACTACTTTATTTTTCGGTTTCGTTCATGTAAGGGGCCGTTATGGCTGCCGCTCATCATGGCATGCGTGTGTGTGTGCGTGCATATGCGCGCTTGTGCATGGGCGTGCACGTGTGTATGTAGTGTGTGTGTGGTAACGGTTGATCGCGAAGGTTGGCTGGCTTGAAAAGTTGATCCTTGATCAAAAAAGGTTGGGCACCCCTGAGCTACGCGGTTCCCAAATCGTGCAACATCACCTTTGTTGAGCTGCCTTCAGGACAGCTGTGCAGGATCTGTATGCGTCCCTTCCCCTGGCATACTAATAAGAGGTGGGCCATTGCCTGGCACGATTGCTCATACACATACCCGGAATGTAGTTGTGTCATACCATTACTGTATTGAAATCGTTCCTTGCCATTTATTCAGGCTGGCACTATGCACAATATGAATCAACCGAACAGCTAGAACTAATCTGCATCATCCATCCTCTGTACCTCATATCCTTATGAGGGTCACGCGCGTGGTGAAGTCTATCCCAGTTGGCTCTTGGTGAGAGGCGACTTACACTCTGAATTAGTCACCAGCCAATAGCAGGGCACAAATGCACAAACAATCTTTCACTCTCACATTCACACCTACGGAACATTCAGGACAATTTAGAGTCTTCACTTAACCTACCATGCATATTTTTGAAATGTGGAAGGAAACCGGAGAACCCTTGGAAAACTCAGGCAGACATGAGGAGAACATCCAAACTCAATACAGGAAGGGCAGGGCCCGGAACTGGACCCACAACCTCTGAACAGTGTGGCATATCACACATGAGGAAACGCAGTGTATGTGGCATGATCAGTGTGATCATACTGAAGTGATAGCACACTCTGAATGTGCATGTAGTGTGACATAGGAGACATGAGAGGGAAAGAGGTCAAGTCCGGCATGGTTCGAATGGCCTAGTGTGAGACTGTAAGTACACCGTAACGGTGCTTTGGTTTTCATGTTGATGTGAATATCATTCTACACTGTACATACCACTTTACTTTCCTGCTCTCTTGTTGAGATACTTAGCACAATTGTACAGTATGCTGTAGAAGTGTGAAGCTTGGAGAAGAACAACTGCTTGCACCTTGGAGTGTCTGCGTACATTATTGGTTTGGCAACAAGCAAGAATGATAATAATGATAGTGAGCTACTGAAGTGTATCACTGCGACCAGCACGCTAGCAAAAGGTTATTGAAAAATTGGAAGGTTGGGATAATTTTTTTTTTTTGTGGGGGGGTTACAATGAAAAAAGCAATTCAGATCATACCACACCGAACTAACCCAAATCAAGCAACTTGCTGGAGATTAGTTTCTAGATTCTTCTGTCGCTCACCTTGGAGACCAGTGTCACTGCCAGTAGCTCATGCCCACCTTACAAAGACCTTTGAAGCTTCATGTCCTTTATATTACAGCCATCTATCTTCACCCGTCTTAACCTTCCTTTTAGCAAATCAGATATACTGTATGTGGTATTTGTTTTCAACGCAGACATGGCATCGCATTGAAATATGGAATTTGTCTGAGGTTACACTTGTTACATTCCACCATTTGGCGCAGAAAGACAGGCTGAAAGGCTTGTTACCGAGCACAAGGGCGAGGAAGAGAGGGTGATGAGGACATTGAGTACAAGCATTTCTTGCCAAGTCTGTGTATTATCAATGCATGTCAGGCCGTTAGAGAGTGCCCTGATTCATTGTACTCGGTATGAAGCATGAGAAAAGAGCACATACAAGGCTCCTTTTGTGGATCATCAGTAACAAGTTCAGACACAGACTGTGCTTTTTCTCTCTTTTTTTCCCCGTCTTTGTTATAAAGCTAGTGCAGCAGCCACTGTTTAGGTTGGGACAGGATGTCCTTCTCAACAAGATATTGAACCACAGTACTGGACGCATTTTACAATGATCTAATAGCAAAGATTGCAAGTTTTAGCATATGGGGGTTCACTGTCAGATAGCAACTTAAATCTAATTAAATTAAAACATTTTTAAATTTCCATTCCTTTTTTCAACAACAGGACATCATGTCTTTTAAATTTACAGTGCAGAAAAATAAATTTGTTACACCGCAGTTAATAGGCAAACGTGTTGATTGTTGTTTTCCAAAGTAAAAGCAAATGTTTTATTGTCATTCAACGCAAAAATAAATCAGTCTTATGTCACGGAGGACAACAGTACTATTTAATTTTGTAAAACTGAAATTGTGAGGATTTGGACATTTTTTAAATTGGAAAAGGTATCCAAATGAATAATGGATTATCAATAACTGATTCATTTGATAATCAATTAGTTGTTGATTAATCAATTGTTGCAGCTCTACTACCAAATGTTAGCAATCCGAGTATTCTCATTTCTTAAAAGCGTCAATGCATTCTCTCCCTTTCAAGAAGCTTGGGGGAAACAGCAAGAACCTTGGCGGTTAGGAACTCCTCTGTTTTCGGCATGTGCTCCAGCTTTCAGCAGACCAAAATCATTGCGCTTAGTTCATTGGTGACACAGTGAATGGTTGTCTTTGTGCATGTGTCACTTCGGTGATTGGCTGATGAGACGTTGAGGCTGTACATAGACATTCTCTCGAAATGTTCACTGGGATTCACTTTTGGAGTGGGCCCTTGAATGGGATATGTGATGAATGTTCGAAAGTGTGACAGTATTGAAATGTATTGGTGGGAAAAGGCTCACGTTCATTCTAGGTGTTGATCTTTTGAGCAGGTTGCAACATCTCATTTATGTTTTTAAAAATGACAGCTCTGCATCTGCATCTGCGAGGCATAAACTACTATTACTAGATTAGTGGAGAGGGAGAAAATGCCAATAAAACATTCAGTTTTGGATTGCAGTAACTCTCCTTGCTGCATTTGCAGAGTGGGAGGTGGATAAAATTCCCCTTACAGTTTACACATTTTCCTATAACACAACGGTTGGTTTGGGCTTTTCTCTAAGCAATATAACTTTTCTACCAGAGAAAATGTTTTGCTCTTGGTGACTCTGATGTCTGGACCACCAACTAAACCAGATGTTAAACCATGGACAAATGCAAACGTTTGCTAGCCTATTTCCTTTATGACATGATTGTGAAATTGTAGTGGTAACAGTTGTTACTTGTGCGTAATTAGAGCCTTTTTTTTTTAATTCCATTTGTAGCTGGTGATTATGCATTCATTGCACAGATTTATGGCCCTATAAAATTAGTGTTAACTGTGTTCATCACGTAGAGCTTGGCAGTAAAATAGTACATGGCTGAATAGAAATCATTATCATTGAGGAAATCCTTGATCGGAAATACTTATTTTGAAGCAGCTATTTGTCTGTCTCAAAACAATGAATCTTGATCCCGCCTCAGTATTTTACGCTAATAAGATGCCGAGAAGGAGTACAGGACTGTTTGTACTAGTTCGCTGCAAGGTGTGACTTTGCATAAATGTGTGAACCAGGTTGGGACTAAAATAAGACTTTCTCGCTTTTTGCATGTACCTCTTCACCGGATTGAAAACAAAAAAAAAAGACAAGCTATGTTTGTCTTCTGATTAATTTGACACCACAGTTCAGATGTGCCACTCTCGATCCAAAATGAGGAGATCGGCTTGCTTGCTTGCTTGCATTACAAAGTGTGACTCTGTCTTCCAGGGTTCGAAGCGCCTCCTGCGATCCAACGAGTATGTCCTACCACCCAGTGGACTAATGGAGACAGATCTGGAACTCACATTCTCACTACAGGCAAGTACTTGCCATTGTGCTGTGAATTCTCACACTGACACACCAGTTACTTGACAACTATAATTGAAGCGAAACTCAAAGCCACGCACGCTAGCATTCTTTGAAACCCCAGTGGTTCTCCTTGTTTCATATTTGTGTGTTAATATTGCCGTATATTTGAACATGAGAGTTGAAATAACAAATATTTAATTCTTAAAATTATTTGGTTGACTTTTGAAGTAATGAAATATTCTTGAAATAAACTGACGTCACTGGAGAAGCAGATTGAACATTTATTCGTCTACCGTCTTGATTGGAAAAAGATGTCATTTTGAATTTAATCTCCCCAGATAGGCCTTCCTATTAAAATAGTCCCTTCATTATCTAATGACAGCCATAATTAATCATTCTGGCTACAAATGAATGATGAGTCTACAAAATAGAGAAATATTGCTCACACAGAAGTCTATACCGGTAGTCCATATTAATGAAGTTCCTGTCTAGTCATCTGAGACGGCTCAGAAAGCTTTAAAGATGTCCCAGATGTGTGACAAAGGTAAGGAAACACTGGATAAATGAGCTGCAGATGCCTAAACAAAGAAGGTCATAATGGACTTAAGCTGTCGGTCCACCATTTACTGTCAGTATTCACCTTGGTTTAGGCGGCGTGACACAGTGGATAAAGAGCATCTACATATATAAAGTGTCATCTCTGTGTTGACCTTGAAAATGGATTAAGATGTAGTTCTAATCTTTTTTTTCCCCCCGTTTGTAGTACCCCCATTTTTTGAAGAGGGATGCCAACAGACTACAGATCATGTTGCAGAGGAGGAAACGCTACAAGAATCGAACCATCCTGGGCTACAAGACTTTGGCTGTGGGAGTTATCAATATGGCCGAGGTATTGCATGTTTCTTTTACATTGGGGAATGGTTTTTACTTTGCATATTTGAATAAGGCATTCTGCTTTACTCTCTGACAGTGATTGACATGTATTCATAGCAATGTACCTTTATTTGATTGGCCCCGCTGGTGTTACACTTGACTTTGAAATGATTCATGCTCCTCACACCCACTGCTGTATGAGATTATGGGCCATCTGGAGCTGGCTTTGAATGTACTTTTTCAGAAAGCACTCCTTTGAGCTATGATATGTAGAAAATAATGGGCCGAGAGCTGGTCTAATTCCAAGTGTGGATATTAATTTTCATGGAAACCTGGCTCTGTTTAAGTGCTCAATCCAAGTCATTTGGGGTTAAGAATATGCGAGTGAGGACTAATGTTTTGGTACATATTACAGGGGTAAAAAACAAAGTGCAATCTTGTATGGACGTTGTTACGCCAAGCAAAGGTTTTGGGTTCATTTAGGTTATTAATGCCTGTTGTCATCAAGTGAAACCCAATGCTTTTTGTGATTCTCTAAACTCTATGACTTATTCCATAAGGTTTCCGACAGGCTTTTGTGGAACAACAGTAGGGAAATGGAGATGGGGGCGTAGATTTGGAATTCTAGAATGTTTTGAGGCTTATTCTCTGTGCATATCGCAAGAGATAGATGTTAACCAAGGCAAATTTTGCTCCATAGTATTGCATTTGTACATTTCTAAATGCATCCTTTCATGTTAAATGACAGAAGCAATGGCCCTGGAAAAGGAAGTAACATGAAACATGAAAGTCAGGCTAATGTGTTGCCACAGTTTAGAATATCACTTCACTCTTGTCCAACATCCTGCAGGCTTGTATGAATGACTAAGCCTAAATTGAATACTGTATTATTGTATGCCTCTTTTTTTAATCTATTTATTTATTTATTTATTTATTTTAAATAACAAGCAATTCCAGTATGTTGTCATGTTTTTAATTTGGTCTCCAGCACTCATCCTGAATTTGAATGGACTTTAAAATGGAGCTCCCAAGTGCATTCCCCGTTAGTGTTTGAGCAAAATTATCCTATTCCCAGTATTGCCATTTATATTGTGAAATATTACCGTGACTCCCCAGATAGAGATTGGAACAAAAGTAATACAGCTGTTACACTGTTTTCATGATGCAAGCAAATTGGCTTTGGTCTGTTAGACAGCCACGGAGGAAAATAAGCAATTCTGCGGCAGTGAAGATTAATTTAGCGATTGCTTTGCTCTCAGGCTGTAATCATTCGCTTGGTGTAAAGCAATGTAATGGAGGCTACCTCTCCAGGATCAGTGTTGGCTCTCCGAAGATAGAGATAACATTCTTCCATCCTCCCGCTCTGTTGAAGCAAGTATTTGTTCTGCTCGGCTTCAGAATGTCTCAGCTGAGTGATTGATCCACTCAGAAATTGCATGAGACATGATTCTATCTCAGATAAAGAGGACTTGATATGGTGAATATCTCCTGATTGAATCAGAACGTACAGTAGGAAGAACCATGCAGGGAAGAGGTGATGGAAGTTAGCAAGTCCAATTTTATTTTATGATAATGTCTTTATGTTCAGGTGATGCAGCACCCCACAGACGGAGGCCAGATTCTCGGTCTCCATAGCAACGTGAAAGAAGCGCCAGTGCGTGTGGCGGAGATCAGCGTGTACTCTCTGTCCAGCCAACCCATCGACCATGAGGACGGCAGTGGACAAGCTGGCCGAAAGACAAAAACCTCAGGTTGGCACCGTCAATGCATCTTTGCATACATTGATGTCCTGAATAAGCATTACCTTCATCACTTTATCATATTTATTTTATCTTATGTTATTTTCACAAATCTTGGGACTTACTTGGCTAACCTGGGATCTCGAGGATTGTATTTTGGGCCATGTCATGTGGAAATGGGTGTTGGTATTACAAAAACAATTGTTGGACCTTTGTATCCTTGAATTTTGAGGAAAGGAAATTTGTTTGCCATTTAAAAGTTGTGTTTTCAAGGATTCAAAGATAAAATGAATTAGTTAGAAGGTTAAAACGTGTATCCTATGAAAATACCAATAGGAAAAAAACAAAAACAAAATCCGACTGTTCTTGCGCATTTTGGCTTCTTGGGGGCAGTGTGGTTCTGTGCTTGGATGGAGTACACACTTAGAATGAGAACGGAAGAAGTTGCAATGGAATACTATAAAATAACTCGTTTTTCACAGGTTGGAAAGAATTAATGCATTTGACCAGTGTTGCCTTATTTGTGTGTGAATATCACTCTCAAAGTTTACGCTAATTTCCTTTTATCATTTCAATGGGATCCTCCATTGAATTTAGCATTAGCGCTACCAATGTTTAAAAACCAAAAGCATATTTTGTTTAAATATACACGATGCAATTGTAATGTAATTATTTTCGTTGTGTGTTTAGTTTTTCAGTAAACTCCAACTGGGGTGTCATTAATATAGGGGGCTGAGGGATGACAGAATCGCGTGCGTCGCACGCTTGCAACACGGTGCATTCAGGGTACTTTCACAACATCGGGAATTTATATATGTGCTGCGCTGTTATGCACATCAATTGTTTTTCCGAAACAATCAAGTTTGAAAAATTGACATAAGCCAAATTCGAAATCACAATTTAAATTCCCATTAGTTGACCATTCCTAGCGGGCCAGCCTAATCCTCACTGACGCTTCAGCCTTTCTGTTTTCTCCCACCACATGGATCCCATTTCCCAAATGAAGACAAAGTCAAATAATGCTTTTCCAAACTAGGCCTGAGTATATGTGACTCTGTTCTGCTATGTTTGTAATGTGTGATCTCTGAGCTGAACAGATGTTGGGCCTATTACCTTACACTGCTCTAATTCTGGACAGTGGGGGAAATATTTGGCCTAGCTTAGGCTCCACGCCTTCATCCAGCTATGCTGGTCCCTCGCTGTTCTGGATGTTATTAAGGAGGTCACTCAAACATAACAGATGAGCTCATGTACTAAGTATTAAACCCGTGTCACTTTGGGCGAACGTTTTATCTTGCTCCTCTTTGCAATGACCCTTTCTGACATCAATTCCATTTGAGAGAATGGAACAGACACTGATATGAACTGATTGAAAAGAACAGAAAATCCCAGTTCTAAATGGCTGTTTCAACCAATAAAATTAGCTATTTAAACAGTAGTCCACTCATGCCGAGTAAGGTCAAAGTAAATGGGTTTGATAATCATGGTTGAAAGTGCAGTCAGTAAGTAATTAAATAAAGTGGCCGTGGATTTCTGCCTGCTTCAGTCTGGATTTTTTTTTTTTTTTTTTTGGTTTACACACCATATTTCTGTAAATGTCTTTATCATTTAAATTTGTTTCTGATTTATTTGCTTTAGACCGCTCCCCAGATATGGACAACTATTCTGAGGAGGACGATGACAGTTATTCATCCGAGCAGGAAGCTAGTGATGATGCGGCTCATGGCCAGGTGAGTGCCAAAAAGAAAGATGTTGATGCATATCCTGTTTTTAATTTGGCCAAGTGTTTTTCTTGTAAATGTAAATTGTACATATGGCTTTACTTTTGCGTTAGCATAACGTTAACTGTGTCTTTCGACTTGCGTACACATTCGTAGTACATCGCTGGCGTAGAAACAAAACTGATTTTAATTTACTTTTGAATTGATTGCCTTGAAGTCACAAGTCAGAAGCTTCAAGTTGGAAATTTTGCACTTCCCAGTTGTCTTAAATGAGGCATTAGCCTGCAAACCATTTAAAGCGGTATCAATAGTGCATCTACTGATTACAGCCACTCCATTTTATCTGAATTCTTCATAATGTGACACAAAAATCTTTTGTACAATTGAGGGGGAATTCTTAACGGGCACTATCATATGTTGTTATAGTCAGATGGTACGATCATCGATCATATCTGCCCTCCGTGCATTTCAGGATATTTATGATGAAGATGATGAGCTTCGCAAGCCCAAGAAAGCCCGGAGGAAAATGATACGGACCACCTCCATGACGAGGGTTAGCCGCCTTCTCTTCTGCCACATGGATTTTTATTTTGGCTAATCATTGACCACAAGAATAACACAAGACCGTTGTTTTCTGACTCAGAAGCTTTTAGGGGAAGCACACAGTGTGATCCATTTGTGCAGGCCATTAGTAGGATGTGGATGAGCATGTAAATGAGATTTGTGGTTTCAGTGAACTCAACCAAGATGTGTGGCTGTGGATGCGTAATCCGCAAGACAGTTCTTGGGAGAATTTATAAATCGGAATTATTGCTATTTTCACCATTGCAGTAATTTACTGTCAACCTGTTTACGATTTTGTTATTCTCTGTTATAGCAACCAAACTTCAAGCAGAAATTTGTGGCCTTGTTGAAGAGGTTCAAGGTAACCGATGAGGTGAGTATTAAAAAAAACGAACACCGCTAACTGCGTTAATTTGATTGATGCCCAAGAGAGTGTGTTCAAGGTTGAAACAAAAGACATGCCAGTGAATCTTAAGGGCAACACCCATGTGGAATTTCTTTGGACTTCTGCTATACCACCTTTAATAAGACAACTTCTGAAAAGCTGTTCAGTTTCTGTTGTAAAAGATCTTTTGTCAGTACTGACTGATGAAACAACATCAAACTAGGTTGCTGCTAATGTATTCCTGATCGGAGAAGAATTGCCTATGGGAAGAAAAAAAAACCAGAGCTTCAAGCATCATTATGCTTGGCTGCATTATCCCCCACTCATGGATGTATGATTCATAAATTGCCATTAGCAATGATTTGTATGCTGAATCCATGAAGGGATTTATTCTCTACAACTTAATCTACTGATAAATGTTGGATTGTATTTAAATTGCAGTTGTCCCCCTTAGCAGCCCTTTTAAATGAATGCCTTATGTAGAGTACATACTGTAAAAGGAATGATGGTATCTTGGGTTTATATAACGCGTTTCAAGTGAATGGCTTGTAATCGTATCAACAGCGGAAGGAGATACTTACCCCAAGATGCCCATTAGTCAAGTCAAGTCAAGCTTTATTGTCAAATATGCTCTATGTGCAACATACAGCACAGATGAAATTACTTTCCTCTCTCAACCACAGTGCAAACATGCAGTGCATTGATACACACACACAGCTAAAAATAAGGGCAGCAAACTGAACTGCATTAAAATACATAATAAAATAACATATAAATGTAAACAAATAAAACAATAAATAGCAAACAACAGAAAACCAAGGGCACTTGTGATTATTGCGGGTTAAAGCTTAGGTAGTGGATAGTTTAAGCACATAATCTGTGGCAGACCAAAAACCTTTAAAATGATTTTTAACCCTATTATGCCGTGAAATCTTACCGAGTGTTTATCTTTTTCCCTTTCAAAAGCACTCAATAGTTCACACAATCAAGTAGGTAGACCAATCTCTCTGGTTATATTGGAATCCCAATTGCAATTTTCAATGTTTCAACAAAGCACTTTTATTCAAGACAATATTTCATTACAAATACATTCTGCAAATCAGTATAAATAAACAAGCCGCACACACATCAAATAAACCAACTTGCATTTAGAAAATGAACATTATATATAGAAAATGTTTAATAAATGTTTCATTTTGCATTTTAACTTCACCATCTTTTCTTTTGCTTGTCGTATGCTTCTTAGACTTGATTCTCAAATGTTATTCCTTTGCTTACATGAGCCTTGTGGGATTTGCATATTTCTTGTCCTGCTCACGCACTGCTAAACATCACCACGCTGATGCTATTGTCAATGTGTCTGTGATTTACTGTTGAGTGTTTACTCGTTACTGAGACCCTTTTGAGAGCCGCTGGCCAGTCACAGCTCACTGATGCTCAAGTTGAACACAGGCCAGCTGCACAGAGCGATCAATGCCTTGTTTCGATGAATTGAAGTCACCGGTGTCTTTATGAGTTACTCACCGCTTTCTGACTGAGTTTGGCGACATTTGGTCCTTCTGCACACCTCAGTTAGCCTGATGATCTTTTATCACAGCGCTTGTCATTAATCCCTTCCTTGTGGCGGAACAGTGTGCACGGCCGGCGTTCTATAAATACATAGCCTAGGAGGTAGAGAAGGGACAGACTGTGTTTATCTGCTCCCTGACAGCTCTTGCACTTATGGAGTGGCATTAATCAGCCGATTAGTCCCAAAGCCTGCCTGTGTGCACTTCCTATGATATGCGTCCCCACTGTGCAGCCTGCAGATCAAAGTTCAACACTGCAGGTTTCTTCAAGCATTTCATATCTGATTGGCCGGCTTGAAGTCATGGATGTATTTAGAGCAGTTTCTACTTTTCACATTCAGTCTGTCTTTAATTGTTTATCCGATAAGCACAGCTGTACAAGTGATTAGTGAGGGTGCAAAACCGGTTAATCTCTACTTTTTTTTTTTTTTTATCCATGTGACATTTACAAGCATACTCATGTTTTGACAATATGTCAATCACGTCTGTCAGGTCTTAGACTCTGATCCAGTAGACCAGACCCAGGAAGTAGAAGAGGATCTGGACTTACTCTACGACAGTCTAGAAGTATACAACCAGAGTGACAGCGGGCCGGAGATGGAAGACAATGAAAGTGTCTTGAGCACACCCAAGCCTAAGCTTAAGTGAGTTTGCCCTCATTTTGGTTCTATGCAATAATTTGTGTGATTAATCTTCAACCTTCCATGAATTGCTGAAAGGATAAAGGATTTTCTTTTTACCATAATTCCTTTAGTAGATAACGTGGACACCAAGACAATACAAAGCTTTGAGTGTGCGTTTGTGTGTTGATATTAAGGAAGATAATTTGGCAAATTGATCTAATGTTGACAATTAACAATTAGTTGTTATTTAGGATGCATAAGTAGCCCGTTATTTGTGATTTCGGACCAAATCTATTTCTGACAGCACCACTGCTGGTAGCAACCAAGTCCTTTTTGTCTCCATGGCTTCCAGAAACAGTGCCAATTGATCGTCAAAATTCTAAATTATGAATTAAATGACCACTAGATTGCTATGTTTACTCCTGGTGAACTATTTTTATTCTTAAAGTCTAATCTTTTGTTTTTCAGGCCGTTTTTCGAGGGGATGTCTCACTCAAGCTCCCAGACAGAAATCGGAAGCATACACAGCCAAAAAAGTCAACCGAGAGAGCTGTTATATGCTGTAAGTTGATCACCAGGCCCTCACTTGTTATTGCAATAACAACCTGCTCTGGTTCCTTTCAGACCTGCTGTATAGCCATAAAGTTCTTCCTTCTGGTTGTACTGGATAAGAGTCACGTTGTTCCCATTGTTATGTAAAATAATTGCCCCCAGGCAGTGCGTAAATGCCTGAATGGTCCAGGGATTCCCAAGAACCCTGCTAAAAATTCTTGGAATGGGGGTCATGTAGACCACTATCCCCCTACACTGCTAGTGGATGGGATGAAGGGGCTGCTATCCCGAAGTAGTTCACCCCTGTAGTATTTATAGAGACAGACACCATATGACCTCTACACCACCATCAACACACACACACACATTCAAACACGCAGACCCAAGTGTGCCCCCATGCTCAGAGAGAAGATTGGATAGAGCATTCCCACCCAGATTTATGACCTGTTGGAAACAAAAAGAGCAACGGAAGAGCCAAGAGAGAGACATGTTGTGTCTGACTTTGTGAGAGGGAGGACAAGGGCGGGCTGTTTATAAATGTATTGGAATCCATTTTAGCTTGTACAAAAGAGCGGAGAACATTCCAGAAAGTAGATGTCGTCCATTTCGTCAAATAAGTGTTTCCAGTCAAACCCAAAAGCCAAGCAATCAGCGGATGGAAGGAAGCTCAGCAAACATTACTCAGTTTGACCGTGTACAGCTAACTTGTGTGACATTTTTACTAATCATGCAATGACCTCAACAATTTCTGTTTCTTTACCTTTCAGAGTGGAGACTTTCTCACTGTGGACAGATGTAAAGTGCAAGGGGCTCGCTATCAAGAGGACAGTCTTATAGACACTATCATCGGGGTATGTTTTTGGTCCAGCACTTTCTTTGCCCTAATGTCCCTTGAGCATTGTGTTCCCCATTTTTCTTTTCCACTCCCTTACCCTTGAAACTGGAGTGTGCTTTGCCTCCCATGGGTTTGGGGGTTTTCCGCCATGAAAGTAAGATGGCGTGGGGTGTGCAAGGCCAAGGATATCACCACAGTCACAATGCATCCATTTAAATGGTTAATTTGAGAAAAGTATTTGAAATACAAACCCACTTCCAATGAACTTGGGACGTTGTGTTAAACATGAATGAAAGAGAATACAGTGATTTGCACTTTTAACAACACCGAATAAATGTTTGGGAACTCAGGACACTCATTATTGAAGCTTTGCTGATGGAATTCTTTGTCATTCTTGCTTGATGTCCAGTTCAGCTGTTCAACTGTCCGGCGTCTCTGTTGTCGTATTTTCCGCTTCATAATGTACCACACATTTTCAACGGGAGACGGGTCTGGACTGCAGTCAGGCCAGTTTAGTACTCTTTCAACTGCGAGACCATGCTGTGGTAACGCATGCAGAATTTATTTTGACATTCTTGCTGAAATAAGCAGGGACACTCAGGGGAAAAAAAAAACCCATTGTTTGGATGGTAGCATATGTTTCTCTGGTCCTTTCAGCATTAATGGTTGTTTTCACAGATGTGTAAATTACCCATGCCATTGACACTAACATAGCCTCATACCATCACAAATGTTGGCTTTTGAACTTTATTCCATAACAGCCCGGCTGGTTCTTTTGCTCTTTGGCCCGGAGAACAGGACACCATCCACTATTTCCAAAAACAAATGTGAACTCGTCAGATCACAGAACACTTCTCCATCTTTCCTCAGTCCATCTTAGATAAGCGTGGGCTTAGAGAAGCTGGCAGTGTTTCTTGATGTTGTTGATAAATGGCTTTTGCTTTGCATTCTATAGTTTTAAGTTGCACTTACAGATGTAGCACCAAACTATATTTACTGACATTAGCTTTCTGAAGTGTTCCTGAACCCCCTGTGGTGAGATTCTTTACCCATCGATTACAGTTATTGATGCAATGCCACCTGAGGGATCGAAAGTCATTCGGCATTGAATGTTGGTTTTCAGCCTTGCTACTTACATGCAGTAATTTCTCCAGATTCCCTGAACCTTTTGATAATATAATGGACCATAGATGATGAAATCCCTAAATTCCTTGCAATTGTACGTTGAGGAACATTGTCCTTAAACTCTTCGGCTATTTTCTCACAAAGAGGTGAACCTCGCTCATTTGCTTTTGAATGACTGAGCAATTCAGGCAAGCTCCTTTTATACCCAATCATGGCAACCACCTGTTCCCACTTAGCCTATTTACCTTTGGGATGTTGAGGGAGCTCCGTAGGGGCATGACAGAAACTGTTGTGTGATGAACATCAGTATTGTCTTCCGCAGTTCTTTTGCTTCATAGTTGCTTTTCTTCTTTTTGGCTTAGGAGCCAGAGACCGATGACAGCGGGCCAGGGCCAGTGGAGGTGAGCAGCTGGGACGTCAACACTGAACGGATGACTAGCACTGTTGGCAAGCTTTGCAAGACCGAGTCCCAAAACCACATGTCTCCAAGGTACACTGCCGAGCCCTGCATCTGGATTTGCACACGCACCATCTTTCTCAATTCGCATGATCGCTATTGCATGCATGACTAACAGCTGCATTGCCCTCGTTCGTATTCATCGCCTCTTGGTAAGGCTCTGTTCTTTGTCTTTTCAGTAAAATGGAGAACAAGCTACAGCGGCGTCCACGCAGCACCTCCATGAAAGACAGACAGAATTCCAAGGCTCAAAGTGACCGCACCAGCAGCATAGAGAGCGAGTGCTCCCCAGAATCAAGACTCATAGCACAGGTAAACAACTTTACGAGCCCAAATCGTCTTACTGTTTTTTGTTTTGTGTTAGTTTGTGTCATTTTTCTGAGTCCATACTGCTGTTGTATCCAAAAGGTGCCCAGGAAGTCTGTGTATGACCAGTTGAACCAGATCCTGATCTCTGATGAACGCTTGCCCGAGAGCATCATTCTCATCAACACAATGGAGTGGCAAGGACAGGTCAATAGCTTAGCTTGACAATCAACAATTGTTGAAATTGTTTTTTTTTTCTTTCTTTCAAGCGCTTCAGTCACTATTCTTATAACATCATGTCTGTGTGTTATCATGCAGTATGTTGCTGAGTTGCTCCATGAACAGGCCCAGCCCATTGTGTCCACCTGCTCAGCTGCAGATGTCCAGGCTGCCTTCAACACCATCGTTACTCGAATCCAGAGATTGTGAGTCACTTCATACTCTGATCATTTCCAATATTTCTCCCGTTGTTTCATGAAAGAAGCTGTACAAGTTTGTACGTGCATCTCCATATCAGAAGGGTAAAATCTTTTTTCTTTTTTTTCTCCTTTTTTAAAATGTATTTTACTCCCAACTACCTGTTAACTAAATTGCGTTCTGCTGTATTAGAAACTTTATCCAACATAAGTCACGGCAGTTTCATCTTTTTAAGGAAAATTCTTGCCGTGCCAGCACACAAATCTTTAAACTTGAGGATAAAACAGTAATCCGTGAAATGAGTCTCTTAATTGAATTGTCTTTCTCTTTCACTTATCCCTTGTAGTTGTAATTGCAATGCGCAGACTCCGCCCACAATGAAGGTGGCAGTTGCAGGTGACCAGAGTTACCTGAGCACCATCCTGCGGTTCTTTGTGGAGCAGCTGGCCAACAAGACCCCTGACTGGCTCAGTTACATACGATTCCTGGTCATCCCTATTGGTAAATACACCATTAAAACCTAATTTATGTTTCTTGATCTACATATTTTAGTCTTACATTTGCATGTGCAACTGCCGTACAGGCTCTCATCCCCTGGCCAAGTACGTGGCCTCGTTTGACAGCAAGTTCAACAGTATCTTTATGGACACCGCATGGCGGGAGCTGTTCTGCAGGACGGAACGGCCCACCTCAGGTAGGACACAACTCATGCTCGCGCTCGTGGTCAGCGACGACACACACCTCCGGTATCTGGCCACAAAGCATGGCCACGGGTCAGGTGTTTGGTCAACTTGCAAAGGAAATAAATGGGGCCGGAGCATGGATCAGAGGCTGATTAGTGGAAAGATGATCTTTTCCATTTGCGCAAGATAGCTGCAACGTGCTCTGTGGAGGGAATGTTTCTGCTTCACGGCACTGCTGCTCCACCCTGCTCCCTCACTGGAAGATTAACGGGCTCAAAGCTGAACCTAAATTTTTGAATTAGGAGGCTTGTTAAATTGAAAGCAAATGCCTTGCTTTGTTACCGCATCATGAGATCATATATTTGTGGTATTTTTTAGGGGCGTGGGTTATTACTGTCAGCCACCTGCAATCTGTGTTTTGAATAGCAGTAAAATAGCTGAAGGAATGATATAAAGCAATGTTGATTTAGGAATGATTGTTTCATTGTTTTATAGAAGTCCAATGTGACTGTGAGGATGATTTGTACACTTCCTGTTGTTTACCACTCGTTTTATTTGCTCCACGTGCAGATAACATTGACGTAGCAGGGCGAGTTGTTCAGTATCTGGCTGGTGCCAGTGTGTCCCACCAGTTTCCCATCTCTGAAGCCATGCTTACCTACAAACAGAAAAGGTAAAGTCACATGAGTAAATATGAAGCAAAATGAAGCATCCTCGTGTGCGGTGTTTGTGGAGATGCATGTATGTTTCTATGCACATCTGTCTGAATTATGAGGATCTCAGTAAAATTGTGTCGACCACTCGTAGAAGTGTTGGCGGACTTAACAATCATTTAGCTTTTGTACTGACACAATCTAATGTGAAATGTACAAAACATCTGGCTTTGTACAGTAAAGTGCAGTGCAGCAAGAAAATACTCAAACCAGAATCAAATAATTCCATAATTTCTGCCAAATGTACCTTTGAGTTATGGCCAAAAACTGTCCAACCTTGGTTTCATCGAACCATAAAACAATGTTGCACATGCTTCTGGAGACTTGAAGTATGTTTTTGCTCAGTTTAGCCACACTTGGATTATCTTCGTCCATTTTCTTCTTTTCTTCCCTGCCGCCCTATATGATGAATATGTGAAATCAAATGTAGGACGCAGACATACTTGGCATAAATTCCTGTAGCTCTGCAGATGTTGCCGTTGGCCCTTCTCACCCTCCCTCACTGGTTTTCTTCTCTTCTTTTCATCAGTATTGGAGGGATGTCAAGTTCTTGGCAAAATGATTCTTTTTTGCATTAAAAAACAGGGATTTTATTAGGTTTGGCTTTTTTATATATATCCATGGTACAGTGATAGTGCAAATCAAAAGTATTATTTTCTTTGTAATGGCATACTTTTTGGTGCAAGCCTGATATTGGATCCCATCAGATTGTGCAGGTGTCCCAAATGTCACCACACAGTGGTTGTGGATTCAAATGTAATCCACACCGTGCATGCAAATTTACTGAATGAGTCATCAGTGACCACACGCAACTCAAGGTTGCCGAGATGTGTGCTAACATTTGTCAATTAGATTGCTGTTTTTTCATAGCAGACATGCGCATGTTCATTTGCAATCAAGTTGTCATAAAGGTTCACATTTCTTATTATAGGACAGCAGTCTTTAACACTCAGCACATAGTCAAGCTGACGCATTTGCATGTGTTCATTTTTTTTTGCTCTGTCAGTAGCTTCCTTGTTAGTCACAAGGTACCCAATACAAAATGCAGTTTAACACCTTTTGCATTCCTTTTTCCCCTTTCCCCTTTTGATTTGCATTCAAGGAAAAGAAGTTTGTATTTTGATTTTTACATCAGGTATCTAATTTGACTCTTGTTTGGTTTTTGCCCTCCTTTTTTTATTCTGTCCACTGCTGTCTGCTGTGTCTTAACACTCCTTTCCCCATTTGATACTCACCATGATGTCGATCTGCACGTCCTGTCTGGGTTTTGTGTTGATTGACCTACCGTGTCCTGCGTGTTGTTGCCGTGATGATTTGCCTAACAACCTCAAAATGATACCAAAATGATCTCTCAGGAGCGGGTTGCCGGTTATTATTACACGAAGCACGAGAGGCCCACTAGGAAGCTTGTCATTGATTGTAAACGTTTTGGAATCAAGTCTTGGGACACACTCCAAAAGACAAGATGTGACCAATTCCATGTTTTCTTCCGTTTTCACTTCTCTGTAGGTGTCCAAAAACTTATTCCTAAAGTGTATTTTATTCCCTATGGTAAGGGACGTATTGCCACAAAACAAAGAGTGTGAGGTGTTCAGCTTCATGGGGACTGAAGTCTTGCACATGCATTCACAGTGGAGCTGAAGAGCCCCAAATGACATGTTGCTACCTTTGCACAAATTCCCAGCAGCAGATCCCTGACTGCAAGTGATTTTTTTTCTAAAAAAATACTGCCACTTTCATGCTTCTTCTTGTGATTGCTAAAAAACATTAAAGTCTGGTATTTTTGCATGTGGCGTTGAATAGTTCATGGTTCACAGCTACGCAGTCATTTCTAACAGTGTTTCTCAAAAACAAAGCCCCAGATAAACGTTGGTTGTAAGGAGCGGTCCTCTCATTCATACCATATACTGCCCAAGACGATCTCATTCCACTCCAAAGCCAGTCATGTGCCATTTCTATCGCGATGGGGCATGATGCCATCTCCCCTCCAGGACCATTGTGTTGCACCTTGGAGTGTTGCAGTATTCCAAGAGCCCCCTCTCTCCCGCCACGCTAACCGCCTCTTTACTGTCTCCCCTCACAGCCCTGACGAGGACTCCTGTCAGAAATTTGTGCCATTTATTGGGGTAGGATTCTTTTTTTTTTTTTTTTTGTGGGGCAGCGGGTGTAAATGGAATCAATTTTTTTATGTTGTTCAGTGTTGAATTTCACACCGCAATACTGTTGTTTATTTGCAGGTTGTGAAAGTTGGAATTGTGGAGCAAAGCCTCTCAACCTCTGGTAAGTGAGACCCGAGCTCCGAAGCCAAAGTGAAAGTTAAACTAACACAAACATACGGAATGTTTTGATTTCATATTTTTAAAGAAGGTGCTGATTTAAGTATAGCGAGGGTGCTCGGTTTACAACATTTCAAAGTCACGAACGGCGTGCAGTCTAAAGTGTCACCTGGCACAAATAATACGCCATTATGGTTTTACATTATTTTTTTTCTGATTGTTTTATATTTTTAGTCAACAAGTGTTTTTCATGCAAATATATGTACTGTAATTATGACATTTTGAGGTTACAAATGACACGCACAATAAACTACTTTGATCAGCGGCATAAGACTACAGACTCATCGCACAGCATGAGGCAGCTCAGTCTGAATTGTCCTTCGTGTTTATTTGTTTTATACTCAAGGGCTAGAAGCGTTAGTCATACAGGTATTTACTCCTACAATGTGAATATTGCTGAGTGATAGATTGCAGCACGTTTCGACTTGTACATCTGTCAAAGTATCTGACTGCATTTTCTCACTGGCCTTATTTTTTGCTGCATAATCCAGGTTTAGGTTGAAAATGGTCTTAACCTTGTTGTGTTAACATGTTTAAAATAATAATAATAATAATAATAATGAAGACATGGTACAAGAAGGCATGCACGGTACTGCTGCACTTCATTTATTTCTTCACTTATATCTGTGACCAGTAAGTATTTCTAAACAAATACTTCCAGTAAAACTGACCACATGTTAGCGATTGACTACTGCACATTCCAAGTTACTCATGATGCCTTTGTAAACCGAGGACCCCTGAAAAGATATGAACAGAGGAGGCTCATTTCACAAATTCCCTATCAAGGCCATCTTTTTGGGATGTTGCTTAAGATGGCTTATTGTGTTCACAGTGGATTCTGATGATGCTATGGGGGTCAACACAAGCATCCTGGCCTCCCCTACCCCGCCCTCGGCTGGTCCGTATGGGAAGGAGATCGGGGGAACACCCCCACAGTCGCCCTCTGTGTCCACTGCCCTCTCCGGAGCTGGGTAGGACTCACCCACACACACACACACACACACACACACACATACACACACCACCACACGTCTATCACAG